CTGTCCGTTTTGCCCATTGCTTTTTGGACACGGGCAATGCATGGCGCTTTGAGTTGTCTTCAAGCTGAAGTACATGTTCATAAACTTCGTACTACGGCAGTCAAGCACATGGGATGCCAACTTGCTGGCTCTAACCCCATCCTGCGACTTTCACTGTCGAGACCAATGACTGCAGACCCAGGTTTTTATCAGCTCAAAACTGCTCTTTTTGACTTTAGGCGACTTTGCTTTAAGAGCCCAGACCTTCTCTCTATGTGGCGTTTTTTCATGAAGCGTTTTTCTGGAGGACTGTTTGATGGCCCTTTTTCGAAACTGCTGGCCTTACTCAATGGTATTGGATGGGAAATCCTGGAACCACCAATGCTCCGCGACCATGATGGATGTGAGTTTGACCTTTTCCAACTACCTCGCGGGGCATTGGATCTACTGTTGCAAGATGCATGGTTCCAGCATATCGCTACCAGAACCAACCACAAGACTATGCAAGACCTCACTGGACTTGACATTGCTTTGACTCGCCTTGATCATGACAAGCAGATAGCAGCTGATGTAACACGTGTTAAAGCCCTTCAAACTGGAGCCTTCGTCTCTGGATGGCAACATGCGAAGTATGACACAACAAAACAACCTGTGTGCCAACTTTGTATGCAACTGGATACCCAAAAGCACTGGCTACGCTGCCCACGATTCGATGAGTTGCGTGCAGAATGTCCTGACCTACTCTCTTGGATCGACGATGCTCCTTCCTGCGTGGTGCTGCATTTGCTGGCTCCTAGATCGCCTTTCGCATTGCTGCTGAAGCGCTACTTTCTGGACCTGCCAGACTTGAGCAAGTGCTTTCATAGCCTTCCTAGGACCGGGATTAGAAACCAGTTGTTTACTGATGGTTCTTTTTTCAAAGGGTTTGTTTTTAACCTGGACAGAGCTGCGTGGGCTGTCGTGAATGCCAGCACCAACCAGACCATCAGCTATGGGTGCGTTCCTGGCATTCTTCAGACGATTGGCAGAGCTGAACTCCTGGCCATTATTTCTGCGGTTGAATGGGCTGTTGCTCACGACACCCTGATTACTATTTGGACAGATTCGGCCAGTACCTGCAGTAGAGCTAATCTTCTCCTTCAGCAACCACGGGCTGCATTCCTCGCGGGCGAAAACCATGATCTCTGGCAGCGATTAGCTGAGGCGCTTGAGCGGACTGCCTTTGAACAGGTCATCATTTGCTGGACTCCTTCACACATTGATGTTGCATGCTGTGATACCTCCCAGGAGGAATTTCTGGCTACATGGAATGACATTGTGGATACCCTTGCAGTGACCACTAACAGGGACCGTGGCTTTTTTTTGCACAACTGGCTGAGGAAGCAGAAGCCTACTACCAGCTCTGGCAACACCGTCTGCAAAGTTTGCGGAAGTTTTACTTGAAGATTGCGGAAGTCAAGCAAGAAGAGATAGACACAATCGACTTGACCTTTGAACCAGCTCAGGAAATTCAGCGAGTTTCTGACACTTCACTTGGAGATGCCCTTCCTGTGAATTGGCAGCACACTCTGAGACACAGCAGTGACGCCTTGAACCGGCCTTTAGAATTCATTTTTTACTCATTTTCGGTATGTGTGGCTGAGGAGCCCGCACAAAACCATTTTGTTATTATCAGTTTCATCGAATTGACCTTGTGGTTTGTACAAAATCTCAAAGCACAGTTTCCTTTTGAGAAAACCACGAAAGGCAGTTGGATGTACAAAGCTGTTGATGATCTTTTACTCAAACCAACACTGGCTTCACTTACTGCGAAGCTGAAACAGTGTTTTCTTTATGGTTTGAAAACTCTGGGACTGAATGATTTTGTTTGTCGTGGTGTTGTCAGGCATGAAGCTGGCATTTCCTATCCTGTTGACGGTTTGCTTCTATCGATGTCACCAGAGATTGCAGCAGACATCTGTGCTGCTTCTGCAAAGTTCTTTGGACCAAGGATGCTGCGAAAGGCGGCAGACTTGGCAAAACCTGTGGCGTAGACACGAACCAGGCCGCAGCTGCTCTGCATGCGCCGAGCACTGCTGCCAGAACGGTCCGAGCTATGGTTTGTAAACTCGAAGCTTTTGAAGCTTTTCTACATCTTGAAGTATTGATCTTTTTTTATATACTTTAAATGTTTTGGTATGTGTATTTTCAGTATTTTTTTTTGCAATTTCTTGTTTTCATTTGTAAAGTGGAGGTTCAATGGGGAAGGAAAGGGGAGACACAACTGGGGAGAGACAACAGGGGATCACAACAGAGGAAAACAAACATACAACAAAAATGTAAAATGGTAAAAAAATCCTTTTGTAACAAAAATAATAAAAGGGCAAACGCTATAGTTGATATCCACAATGTTGTATAAAATCTTATTAGGACCCTAATAAGCTGTTATACACAAATCATACCCGTCAAGTTTGTATAAAATCTTATTAGGCATCTATTAAGGCAAAAATTCCTTATTAGGACCCTAATAAGATTTTATACAAAAATCATCCCCGTCAATTTTGTATAAAATCTTATTAGGCATCTATTAAGGGAAAAATTCCTTATTAGGACCCTAATAAGATTTTATACAAAAATCATACAGTGTCAATTTTGTATAAAATCTTATTAGGCATCTATTAAGGAAACAAATCCTTATTAGGCCCCTAATAAGATTTTATACAAAAAAAAGTTGTATAAATCTTATTAGCATGCTAATAAGGATTTTTTTTCCTTATTAGCATGCTAATAAGTTTTATACAAAATGCCAAAATCAATTCTTATTAGGCTACTAATTAGTTTTGGTTTGTATCCACCCCATTTTCCTTATTAGGCTACTAATTATTTCTTGAAAAATCAGGGGATACAAACCCGTTTTCTTATTTACTATCTAAAATTCTCTTAGGGTAGTACTGCCCGGGGTAGTGTGGAAGTTCATGAATGTTTTTTTCATTTTTGGCCGTTTTTCCATTGCCGGAAAGCTACCAAAATGACCCAAAATTACATTTCAATACCCTCTTGCGCTCAGACACCCAAAAATCCTCGAAAAATGTCGAAAACACCACCGTATTCTGGTCTCGGTGCGAAACCGTTTTTGGCCCCCCCCCCTAGCTAAAGCTGATATAGCGACTGCTATATTAACAAATGTCATTGAGCATTTAGTGTTGCTGTTGCCCCCCAATAAGCACGCCTTCACCGCCAAAGCGGTGTGGGCGGATTAAATGAAAATAATGTATAGTAGTGTAATTAGTGTTGCGTCATGTTGCGTACGATGTTTGTATTTTTAGCTATCTATCTATCTATCTATTTTTTATTTAGCTGTCTCTCTATCAATTTGTCTGTCTATCTATCTATCCATCTGTCTATCTATCTATCTACCTGTCTATCTGTCTGGCCATCTATCTATCTATCTATCTATCTCATCTACCCAGCTGACCTCTCTCTCTCTCTCTTTCTCTTTCATCTAATTACTAATACCTATCTATCTATCTACCTATCTATCTGTCTATCTATCTATCTGTCGATCTATCTATCTATCTCTCCCTTTCATCTGTCCATCTGTCTAGCTGTCTACCTGTCTATCTGTCTATCTATCTATCTATCTATCTATCTAATCTATCTAATCTATCTAATCTATCTAATCTATCTAATCTATCTAATCTATCTAATCTATCTAATCTATCTATCTATCTATCTATCTGTCTACCTGTCTATCTGTGGTGCAGTGTCATTCAGTGTAATGTAGTGTAGTGTAGTGTAATGTAGTGCAGTGGAGTGTGGCGGAATGTAGTGTAGTGTAGTGTAGTGGAGTGTAGTGGAGTCTAGTTGTGTAGTTGTAGTTGTAGTTGTAGTGTAATGGAATGTAGTGTAGTGTAAGGTAGTGAAGTGTAGTGGAAGATAGTGTAGTATAGTGTAATGTAGTGTAGTGGAGTGTAGTGTAGTGTAATGTGATGTAGTGTAGTGTAGAGTAATGGAGCGTAGTGTAGTGTAATGTAGTGTGGTGTAGTGTAATTTAGTGTAGTGGAGTGTACTGGAGTGTAGTGTAGTGTAATGTAGTGTACTGGAGTGTAGTGTAGTGTAATGTCCTGTAGTATAGTTTAGTGAAGCGAAGCGACATCTGAACCGCCAAAAGTGGTCCGAACCCCTAGTGTTTTGAACATTTTCACTTCGAAATGTGCTTCGCGCCACAACGGCGTGCACGTTTTCGACATCTGAACGTTTTGAACATTTTGACGTCGAAATGTGCTTCGCGCCACAACGGCGTGCACTTTTTCGACATCTCAACTACCAAAAGTGGTCCGAACCCCTAGTGTTTTGAACATTTTGACTTCGAAATGTGCTTCGCGACACAACGGCGTGCACTTTTTCGACATCTCAACTGCCAAAAGTGGTCCGGACCTACTGTGTTTTGTACATTTTGACTTCAAAATGTGCTTCGCGCCACAACGGCGTGCACGTTTTCGACATCTCAACTGCCAAAAGTGGTCCGGACCTGGTGTGTTTTGTGCATTTTGACTTCAAAATGTGCTTCGCGCCACAACGGCGTGCACGTTTTCGACATCTCAACTTCCAAAAGCGCTCCGAGCACCAGGTGCTTTGTACATTTTGACTTGGAAATGTGCTTCGCGCCACAACGGCGTGCAATTTTTCATCTCTCCTCTCGCCAGCTGGCTCCGCACCCGCCGCTTTAGCGAGCCTACTTTTCGACTCTCCAGAGCTACAAATCATCGGAAAAACGCAGTGTTTCGCGACTTTCCTACCTTTTCGCGCATCTCCATCTTCTTTCTTCTTACTCTTTCTCTTCTACTCTTCTCTCTTCTGATCTTTCTCTTCTCTCTGCCTCTGCCCTACTCTGCTTTTCATCTGTCCATATGGTCGGAAGTTTGACTTCTAAACTTCCTTCGACTACGTATTGTTACACGTAAAATATGGTAAAATAACAAGTATGTGAAGAAAATCAAGATCTTAAAAAAATATGTAGCTTGGAGGTTTTTCATCCCATCCTCCAGCATCGGTGACAGCTTCTGCCCTGGGTGCACTCGAGGAGGGGCCACCTATGCCGGAACACCCACATCACTCTGCAGGCTTGCACAACTCCCCTCCTGACCTTTCCGTTGATCTTGAAATATATTTGATCTATACGATTGTAATTGATTACATGTGTATATATCCACTGTACATGTGATTGTGCTGCGGAATGTCTAAACACCAACATCCATTAGATCAATCCAGGCACTCGTCGAGTGTCTCTGTAGTTGTATTCGTTGCAGAGCCATGCTTCTTTGTGGCGCTCGTTAAATTGGGTAAAAGTCCCATCCTTCCAGCAGGTCAAGTAAACATGAATTGGCTGTATTGATATTACATCAAACTCAACTCATGGTCTTACTTCGCTGCCTTTGCACAACCTATATTGGAACTGAGTTGGTGGCAACATGTGGCAACCATGACAACAGTTACAGCATCTACCACTGTAGCAATCGCATTTGCAGCGGTTGGATGCTTTTAGCAATGTGGCCAAGTCTCAGGATTCCGCACTTGCCGACGCGGTTGCTCGTAGTTGAGAGCCCCCGGGAGCGTCGCTTGCTGCAGAGAATAGATTTGAGATTTGCTCAGAAATCCAGGAATCACCTTGGCAACTGAGAGCTGAAGCAACCGTAATTTCACACAATTTCCATCAATTTCCTCAAAATTTGCAGCGGAGGGAGTCTGTGTGAGCACCTCAACAACTTTCAGGAAATGTCTTGATCCCCAAAGGCTTTTGGAGCTGACATGAGTGACAGGGCACTAAAAGTGCGACTTTGTCACCAGCAACGATGTGTCCTTAGGCTTCGCTTTGCTCCAAAGTGGAAGGTGGAAGACCTGGTCATGACCTGGTCTTATTGCTCATGGACTCAACGTATCCACCGACCCAGCAAGGGCGAGTGTGCCATGGAATAAAGTTTAGTTGCTGTAACATATTTTTTCGAGGACACCTTTGGCAGTGCGTCCTGGGTCCTTGCATGCCATGTTAGCATTTTGCATCATTTTGCTGCAAAAATGATGCGAATAGGTATGTCAATGTATAATGAATCGGGTTTCAGAAAAGATGTTAAAGACTTCTCCCTTTTCGGTCCGCTTTTCTTGTTGATGTTTTTGTGGGTGTTCATTTCTATTCACCAGTGTTCCCATTTGAGCGCAAGTTTCTGTCTTCTTGTGTGCTTCCACCCTCATTCATCGGCCTTGTTCCTGTTTTTGCATGTGTTTTCTGATTCCTGCTTTTGTTGATTCGCATTAGCCTGTGTTTCTCGTGTTGCATACAATGGTCACAACAGCTGGAATAGCGTCACCATAGAGACCCAATCTTGACAGCATCGCTGGTGTGCGAAGCTCTACAGTCGAAGCACTGAAATAATTGCGGGGGAATACCACCATGATACCTTAATGATCTTTATGACAATTAATGAAGATCTTTGATCCGGGGTCTGTCCGCAGGATGCATCTCATTTGTGTTGGAAACAAACTCTTCAAACCACTGATGCAATGAGTGGCTTCCGATTCCCAGGTCATTCCACGTCGAGTTTCAAATGGCAGGGAAATCACCAACGGCTCGTCTCCTGGTGGAAGCTGCCCTGGTGGCCGCATGGGGGTCCGATTGATCGAGCACAGTGCCAGAGATGGATGGATTGCCTTTTTTGTTTTTCTGTTCTTCAGTAAACATGATGATAGAAGGGTACTCAAACACAACATGTGACTATGAGCATTGCACTTCAGCAAAACCAAATCAAAGAAACTTGGACCATCTTTAGTTCAGTACTATGTGAACCCTGGTTCATATACAGTATAATGATCCATATATACTGACGGACACAAAGTTAGAACCTCAAAAATTTTCCAAACTGTTCACTCCTCACAGTTAGAACCTCAAAAATCCTCCACAGTTAGAACCTTTTTTTGGCAAAAGGTTCTAACTCAGGGAGTAACACCAACCAACTATGAGGGCCGCGCCATTTTCCTGCACACATAAAATCTATTGTCATTTCAACTTTACATGTAAGTATGTATACCAAGAGGTTTTAAGTCTTAGGGTGTGAGCACTCGTACGGGCACAGACATATGTGAGTTCGCACAACACGGAGTCATATACAGAAGTGTTTGTAATATGATATATGTATACTTGTTAGTGTATGTATGTATACAAAGAGGTTCTAAGTGTGAGCAACTCGCAAGGGCACAAACATATGTGAGTTTGCATCACATCGGTTCATATACAACAGTATTTGTGATAGAACATATGTATGCTTGTGAGTATATGCATGTATACAAAGCGAAAGCGCGAGCACTCGCAAGGGCAAAAACATATGTAAGTTCGCACAACATGGGTTCATATACAAAACTATCCATGATACGATATATGTATACAAATATTTGTCAATATATGTATACAAAGAGGTTCTAACTGTGAGCACTCGCAATGGCACGTACAAGTGTGAGATTGCAAAGCACGGGTTGATATACCAACGTATCCGTGATATGGTTCTTGATATATGTATACTTGTTAGTATATGTATGTATGCAAAGACGTTCTAGGTGAGAGCACTCGCAAGGCTACAAACATATGTCAGCTTGCACAACATGGGTTCATATACAAACTTATATGTGATGGAATATATGTATACTTGTGAGCACATGTAAATATATGCAAAGAGGTTCTAAGTGCGAGCACTCGCAAGAGCACAGACATATGTGAGTTCGCACAACATGGGTTCACATATAAAAGTATCTTTGATATGATATATGTATACTTGTGAGTATATGCGTGTATACAAAGAGGCTCTAAGTGTCAGCACTCGCAAGGGCACAGACATATGTGAGTTCGCACAACACGGAGTCATATACAACCCGGCGGATGGGAAACCGCGCGAGTGTTTTGATTGTTTGCTTCCAGGAGAGTCACAATCACCTGTAATTTACAATATAAAATGCTCTTCCGAACTCTTTGGATAACTGAATTTTGGTTAAAAAAAGTGGATGCAAAATCTATTGATTTTTGACAAATCCAGGTAAACATCATGTGCATCAGACGTGGATGCTCAGATTTTTTTAAACACTCTTCGTCGGCTCAGGGATCCATCAGTGTGGAAGCTGTCTTCGACAGCAAGTTGCCAATATGGCACTCATAACGCCACTGCCAGCAACGGAGGTATAGCATGACATCTCAGCAGCGTAGCAACATGTCACGTAGTAAGCGATCCCAGAGATCTTAGCAACATGGCAATATATCATGTACGAAGTACAAGGAACGTTTGCATGCCCCCCCGCCCCACCCAACCCCAACCCCAACCCACACTAGAGATCTCAGCAGCGTAGCAACATGTCACGTAGTAAGCGATCCCAGAGATCTTAGCAACATGACAATATATCCTGTACGAAGTACAAGGAACGTTAACATGCCCCCCCACCCCACCCCACCCCAACCCCATGACAAAGAGCAATACTCAAAAAAGAAGCAAAACGCACGTACGGTTTTCCAGCCGTAGGCATATACAAGAGTATCTGTAATATGAAATATGTATACTTGTGAGCATATGTATGTATACAAAGAGGTTCTAAGTGTGAGCACTCGCAAGGGCACAACCATCTGTGAGTTTACACAAAATCCGTTTAATTTATATACAAGAGTATTTATGATAGAACAATAGTATTTATGATATAAGATAAGCATATGCATGTATACAAATAGCTTCAAAGTGTGGGCACTCGCAAGGGCACAAACATATTATATGTGAGTTCGCACAACATGGGTTCATATATAAAGGTATCTGTGATATGATATATGTATACTTGTGAGTATATGCATGTATACAAAGAGGTTCTAAGTGTGAGCACTCGCAAGGGCACAGACATATGTGAGTTCGCACAACACGGAGTCATATACAAAAGTATCTGTAATATGAAATATGTATACTTGTGAGTATATGTAAATGTATGTATACAAAGAGGTTCTAGGTGTGAGCACTCGCAAGGGCACAAACATATGTTAGCTTGCACAACATGGGCTTATATACAAAAGTATCTGTGATGGAAAATGTATACTTGTGAGCATATGTATGTATGCAAAGAGGTTCTAAGTGCGAGCGCTCGCAAGGGCACAGACATATGTGAGTTCGCACAACATGGAGTCATATACAAAAGTATCTGTAATATGAAATATGTATACTTGTGAGTATATGTAAATGTATGTATACAAAGAGGTTCTAGGTGTGAGCACTCGCAAGGGCACAAACATATGTTAGCTTGCACAACATGGGCTTATATACAAAAGTATCTGTGATGGAAAATGTATACTTGTGAGCATATGTATGTATGCAAAGAGGTTCTAAGTGCGAGCACTCGCAAGGGCACAAACATATGTGAGTTCGCACAACATGGAGTCATATACAAAAGTATCTGTAATATGAAATATGTATACTAGTGAGTATATGTAAATGTATGTATACAAAGAGGTTCTAAGTGTGAGCACTTGCAAGGGCACAGACATATGTGAGTTTGAAAAACATCGGTAATACAGGAGTTTTAATGATGTAGCAGAAGTATGCTTGTGAGCCATTGCATGTATACAAACAGCTTCTCAAAGTGTGGGCACTCGCAAGGGCACAAACATATATGTGAGTTCCCCCAACATGGGTTCATATAAAGTATCTGTGATGAAATATATTTTGTGATCGAACTCCACCATGATTTCCTACCACTTGCAATATGTTCTGGTATAAGGATTTTCTTTGTTGTTTCTTTCGTTTTCATTTCGTCAGAATTTCGTCAGACTTTTCGTCGGGTGCTTTGTGGCAAAACGTTTTGCCACAACATTTTGCCACAAAAAAAAATCGTCAAAAATTCGTCAAACAATTCGCTCAAATTTCGTCAAACTTGAGTTGAAGTAACGAAATCTTTGACGAAATTTCAACAAAATTCTCACGATCATTTTTTGTGGCAAAAAGTGTGGCAAAATGGATTGCCACAAGGATTGCCACGAAATCTTCAACGAAAGCTTTAACGAACTCTCAACGACCGACTGACGTTATACCATTCCTATTGCAAATCATGAGCAGCACCAACACAAAATATATTTGTACTTGTGAGCATATGTATGTATGCAAAGAGGTTCTAAGTGCGAGCACTCGCAAGGGCACAGACATATGTGAGTTCGCACAACATGGGTTCACATATTATATATAAACGTATTTTTGCTATGATATATGTATACTTGTGACTATATGCATGTAAACAGAGAGGTTCTAAGTGTGAGCACCCGAAAGGGCACAGACATATGTGAGTTCGCACAACACGGAGTCATACACAAAAGCATCTGTAATATGAAATATGTATACTTGTGAATATATGTGTGTATACAAAGAGGTTCTAAGTGTGAGCACTCGCAAGGGCACAGACATATGTGAGTTCGCACAACACGGAGTCATATACAAAAGTATCTGTAATATGAAATATGTATACCTGTGAATATATGCATATACAAAGAGGTTCTAAGTGTGAGCACTTGCAAGGTCACAAACATATTTAAGTTTGCACAACATTGGTTCATATACAAATGAATTTATGATATGATATATGTACACTTCTGAAAATGTTGATGTATACAAAAAGGTTCATTGTGTGAGCACTCGCAAGGGGCACACACATATGTGAGTTTGCACAGCATGGGTTCATGTACAAGAATATCGATATATATATATATACACTTGTGAGTATGTGTTTGTATACAAAGAGTTTCAAAGTGTACACTGGCAAGGCGGAGACACATGTGATTTCGCACAACTTGAGTTCATATACAAAAGTATCTGTCATACGATATATGTATACTTGTGGATATATGTATCGTATACAAAGAGGTTCTAAGTGTGAGGGTTCCCACGGGTAGAAACATATCAGAGTTTGCACAAGTGTATATATATATATATACAAGAGTAGCGATAATATGATACATGTATACTTCTGAATAAGTGTGAGTGTGTACAAGGGCAGGAGCATATGCGGTATATGAAATGTTGGGTTCTAACTGTGGCTATTTTTAGCGCTTCTAACTCATATGAGTAAGAACCCGGCCAGATGTATAAATCTCGTTTTTTTTTCCAAAAAAGGTTCTAACTTTGTGTCCGTCAGTATACATCCATATACTGCGGCTGATTGTGAAGGACTGCAGCTGCTGTAGTAACTGTAGTACCAGCATTTCAGAAGCACAAGCCTTGACAAGACAAAACACCTGACAAAACCACATCATCCAATCCCAGTCATCCCATGACATCACCTCAAAATCATGGCAACTTATATATGCAATGCGGGCAAATATCGCAAGTATCGTAAGTATAACAAGCATCAATATCGCAAATGTCTGAAGAATCACACGCATCGCACATATCCAACGCAATGATGACAAATCTTGCAAGTATCACAAGCATACCATGCATATCCATGCATAGTAAGTGCCACAAATATCACAAGCATCTTAAGTATCAAATGTATCAAGAGCGTCTGAAGAATCACAAGTATCACGACTATCTCAAGTATAACAATTATCTTAAGCATCACAAGCACCAGAAGTGCCGGAAACATCACAAGTATCCCAGTATAAAAGTATCACAAATACTACAGTACAAGTATCTCAAGTATCGTATGTATCACACCTATTAAACAATACTGAACTTGTCATAAGTATCGCAAGTATCACGAGTATCACAAAGACCACACGTATCAAAAATACCACAAAGTATACCGGTATTATCAAAGTATCGCAAGTATCACAGGGATCGTAGGCACCACAAGTATTGCAAGTAGTATAAGTATTGTCAGATATTGTCAGATATTGTCAGATATTGTCAGTATCACACGTATACCAAGTGGCCGGAGTATCACAGGTATCAAAGGTAATGCAAGAATTGCTCAAAATTGCAAGTATCACAAGTGCCACAGGTCTTAGAAGCATCACACGATATCCAAGTAGCACAGGTATCACAAGTACCACAAGTCTAAATACCACAAGTATCGGAAGATATCGGAAGTATCGCATGTATCTGAGTACGACAAGTACAATGACAGCAGCAACAGCAACAGCAACGGCAACGGCAACAGCAGCAACTTCAACTTCAACTTCAACAAGAAGAAGAAGAAGAAGAACAAGAACAAGAACAAGAACAAGGACAACGACGAGAACACCTCATAATTTGATCCATAGCAACATTCGCATACTGATGTCTGATCCTTGGATGCGTTTCCACACTTGTCTGAGCTGAATAGGTCCGCAGCCCAAAAAAAACACCAACTTATGCTTGTCAAATCAGCAAACAAGAGATGATAAGAATTGACTGATCACACTCTCCACAATGCCATTCACGATTTCACATACTTCATCATACTTCAACTGTCGTGCTTGAACTTTTTAGTAAAGGTGCTCAAAGCGATCAAGAGATAAGGGAACATCTTTCAAATTATATACCATTCAACCATGGATCCTCTCTTGCCAGGATCCAGCAATTCCTAGTGCAGCTTCCATCCGTAAGGTGACATGCTGAATGTGTTCCCGAAGTTGGTGCTGCTTTTCAAAGACCACCTGTCAGGAGTCGAGATTGGCAAACCACAACTGATGCCTTGGTGGAATTTTGCTACTCTGCAAGACGCAATGAGAAGCATGGTTCATAGAGCAACCCCCCCAAAAGATACACCAGTGGAACATATTGAACATGATTTAAATTTTCAATTGATGGTACTGTAAATTATGGAAAATTACTTTATAATTTCTTCCATGGAATCAAAAACTCACTGAGTACCAACGTAGAGACCTTAGATTGGAGATGAACTAGAACAATGATATTACTTGATGTCCACATGTTTCCGATTACAACTTTTGCGCTGCCCTGTTCCATCTGTATATGCAGTGCCTCATGCCATGTCCCAAGCAATCTGAGCGGCAATTCTGAGGATGGCTGCAAATGAATGATTTGCCAAGAAGCCTCCTGGCAACATGCCAAACAAAAACACAATGTCATTTGCCCATACTTGCCCATCCGAGAAGAAACCAGTGGGCCAGCAACAGCGGTCTAAGTAGTTACTTTGAGGTATTCTCTCAAATGACATGTGGTCTAGATTTAATCAGAAGTGATCCGTTCTGCAATCTCGATGCTGTGTGACTTGAGGCATTCGTTTCGTGTGGAGCAAAGGGACTGCGTTTTGATGTGTTTTGCGCATGTGGAACGTCCACAGCAATTCACCAGCAAATCCTTACAATGTTGCAAGAGAGTTCACAGGAATTTATCAGTTGTTTCCGAAGCTGACTACAGACTTCTAATGAATGTGAACCGACATTGTCCTGCTGCAGGAAAGGGATTCCTTGAGTGCAACACGTTAATGTTCAAAAATAGATAACAAGAAAACACGAAAACAAAATACCGTCGGAAATACATTGAGCATAGCTTTCCTCAGCCTCTCAGAATTACAACCCAAAACGCCTGCAACTTCTGCGACAAGCGCAAGCGTGGACATTCCTTGACCAATGCACGCACACCGAGGATGCAAACAGGGGCATCCATGTCCTCCGGAGCCTCAGATTGATGTTTTTTGAACCTAGCCTCACATGATGAACCATCTGATATTTATGATAATGATATTCATTGAATTCTAGTGTATATATATATATATACTTTTTCAATGTATATTTAGGGTTGTTCTAAATTCTGGTTCCGTGGTTGACGTACAGGAACGTCTTGCGCCTGCCCTTGCGCCCTCTTGCGCGGCCTAGGTTTCAGAGCACACGTGCTTATAGGTCAGTATAATTCCATCATTATCAATATGTTGCATATATTTCCTTCTGGTGACAAACCTCATCTCAATACAATGAACTAACTATCAAAATGGTATATGTACTACGCGAAAAGGAAATTCCATGCATACATGATCGAAGGACCAGATGGGTAGGGTAGATGGATGGATGGATGACGGATGATGGATGGAATGGGATGGTTCAGACTTGTTTCAAGCCTGTTTCGGACCTGGTTCGGACCCAATTCAAATCAGCTGGCTTCTGGGGCCTGCTTTGCACACAGTGCACAAGTTTGGACATGTTGCAAAGACTGGCTACGGAGCTTTTCGAATTCCCGCTCAATGGCGACCAGCTCCAGAAGAGACTTTAACCTTTTGCCTGTCTCGTTGCCAGCCTGAGGCATCCCTCAGTCGCTACCTGCCAGATTATAATGGATTACTCCATGATAGCCTTGCCGACTGCAAGCTAAAGGGAGATGAGCTATCCGGCAAAGGCATTAATTAGGACATTTTGCAACAATAGTTGCACTTTTTGCCTAATCCCCGAAGTGATATGGAGATGCATCCCCTGGTGAGCCGACAGCGCGGCTGGAACTGTCCTGAATCAACGGCTCTACTTTGAGAGCGTGGCGCACTAACACATTTTCAAATCCATTCTTTCCCATCATCATCCAGTGAAGCTTGCCCGGGCGCGCCAATATCTTTTCAAGTCTATTCAAACGCAGGCCTGAATCTTGTCTGTCGAGTAAATGGGGGAGCCAGCTACACGTCGGGGTGCCGATGCCCCGCATTTCGGGGCTCCAACCACCTTTGCTGATTTGGCTGCTAGCCCCGGTGACACGCGGCAGCGGCCGATGTGACGACAATGTCTTCACGATAGCTTTGCGGACTCAAGTCTACGGGGAGATGAGCTATCACAAAGGACATAGCAATAAATGGCTAATAAATGGCCCTAGGAAATTCTATGCAGAGATAGGAACGATGGATCTGATGGATGGATTTGATAGTAGTATGTGGGTGGATGATGGCATGCATGGAATGGGGTGGTTCAGACTTATTTCAAGCTTGTTTCGGACCTGGTTCGGACCCAATTCAAATCAGCTGGCTTCTGGGGCCTGCTTTGCACACAGTGCACAAGTTTGGACATGTTGCAAAGACTGGCTACGGAGCTTTTCGAATTCAGCTCACATGTGTTTCGGACCTGTTTCGGACCTATTTCAGCCATACTTTGAATCTATTTCAGACATGGAAAAGATATGGCCATTAGTCCGAGCACCGGTCCGGAAAGGAAGCATTCAAAAACACTAGCTAAACGGAGCCATTGTCCGGGCAGGTACACAGCGTTGCTGAACTTAGCATGCAAGTTGCAGGAGAAATGCAGCCATGAAGGCATGCAGCGGTCCGAAAGCAAGCATTCAAAACGCAGGCTAAACCATTCATTGCGGTCCGGAAAAGGACGCAGCGGACTTCAATTAATATTGCGAGCTATAAACGCACCCTCTGCGGTCCGAAACGGTTTACAGCAGTCCGAAAGCAAGCATGCAAAACGGATGCTAAATCCAGTCATTACAGTCCGGAAAAGCATGTAACGGTCCGGAAATAGCAATCAAAATGCAAGCGAACGCAGCTTCTGCGGTCCGGAACGGTTTGCAGCGGTCCGTACATCAAGCGGTCAAAACGGAGGCTATAACCATTCATTGCGGTCCCGGAAGGCATGCAGCGGTCCGGAAAGCTAGCATTCAATTCAAAATGCGCAAACCTAGTGGCGGCCCAGGCTCGGGCTTGCCCTGCGTCGAAACTTTTTCACATGTGTTGCGGACCTGTTTCGGACCTATTTCAGCCATATTTTGAATTTATTTCAGACATGGAAAAGATATGGCCCAATGGCCACTAGTCCTAGAACCTTGCACCGGTCCGGAAAGGAAGCATTCAAAAACACTAGCTAAACGGAGCCATTGTCCGGGCAGGCACGCAGCCTTGCTGAAAGTAGCATTCAAGTAGCATTCAAGTTGCAGCCATGAAGGCATGCAGCGGTCCGAAAGCAAGCATTCAAAACGCAGGCAAAACCATTCATTGCGGTCCGGAAAAGGACGGAGCGGGCCTCAAATAATACTGACATTGCAAGCTATAAACGCAGCCTCTGCGGTCCGGAACTGTTTGCAGCGGTCCGTAAAGCAAGCAGTGAAAACGGAGGCTATAACCATTCATTGCGGTCCCGGACAGCATGCAGCGGTCCGGAAATAACAACCAAAATGTAAGCTAACGCAGCCATTGCGGTCCGGAAAGGCATGCAGCGGTCGGGAAAGCTAGCATTCAATTCAAATGGCAAGCTAAACGCTGCCATTGCGGTCCGGAAACCTATAATGGCGGCCCAAGCTCGGGCTTGTGCTTGCTTGCCCTTCGTCGAAACTGTTTCACATGTGTTTCGGACATGTTTCGGACCTATTTCAGCCATACTTTGAATCTATTTCAGACATGGAAAAGATATGGCCATTAGTCCGAGCACCGGTCCGGAAAGGAAGCATTCAAAAACACTAGCTAAACGGAGCCATTGTCCGGGCAGGCACGCAGCGTTGCTGAACTTAGCATGCAAGTTGCAGGAGAAATGCAGCCATGAAGGCATGCAGCGGTCCGAAAGCAAGCATTCAAAACGCAGGCTAAACCATTCATTGCGGTCCGGAAAAGGACGGAGCGGACTTCAATAAATATTGCAAGCTATTAACGCACCCTCTGCGGTCCGGAACGGTTTACAGCAGTCCGAAAGCAAGCATTCAAAACGGATGCTAAATCCAGTCATCACAGTCCGGAAAAGCATGTAACGGTCCGGAAATAGCAATCAAAATGCAAGCGAACGCAGCTTCTGCGGTCCGGAACGGTTTGCAGCGGTCCGTACATCAAGCGGTCAAAACGGAGGCTATAACCATTCATTGCGGTCCCGGAAGGCATGCAGCGGTCCGGAAAGCTAGCATTCAATTCAAAATTCGCAAACCTCCAGGCTCGGGCTAAATCAAACTCATGTACAACATAGACTTACTGGGGATAAATGAGCCAACAAGTTGAAATATGTTGAAATGATCTTGATGCCACCAAGCTACTTCTGAGCTGGCTGCAATCGCTGAAACCACGCTGGCTCCATGCTGCCGCCATCTACTTGGCTGCAGCGACGTGCGTCTTCAAGATTGTTGTACGAGTACAGTAACAGAAAGGAGCCAGCTGATGCTGAGCTTCAGGATAACCAGGGCTGGCATCACAGTTCAACCAAGCCTGCCTATTTTATGAAACTTGATCCTGTCCTTGTTCTCTTCTTTTGATGTTTAAGGCCCTTGATTCATCCATGTGTTCCAGAGTGAGTCACCGACATCACAAGGCGATGGACCAATTTGAATTTGAGCTTCAATGCAACACCATGCTGTATACCAAATCCCGTTGAACACATGAATTATATATATATACATACGTATATATATATAATATATATATATATATATATAATTGCGCTCTCTCTGTCTCTGTCTGGCGCACTCTCTGTTGATCAAGTCAAGGATTGGTCGTAGTGCCCAGTTCTTGCTTGGTGTTGATGCTTCACTCTGGGACAAATCTTGAGACAGGCAACGCTTGAAGATTTGGCGACTCCCCAAAATCCTGAACGGAGATGAACGGAGTAGGTCAAGTACATTAGGGAAGTACCAACTACCATGTCTTGATATCTTTTGCTTTGCTTTGCCAGATTCGAAATCATTGCATTCACGC